AAGCCTTAAACACATGCTTGTAGCCATCAGATGGTCTCACTGAGCTGGGAGGACAGAAACGAGATGAACAAGGAAATGAATAGCAAAAATTTCCATAAAACTGTCATGATAACCTAGGAGTTTCACAGCGAAAACCTCAACCCTGACAGTGACCGGGGAGGGGGTCCTTAATAGAAAACTTTTTTATCAATCCATCACGTACGAGAAGATGGCCAAAAGGGGGAATTGTGAAAGTAATTAATTAACCAAGGAGGCCATTAGACTAAGCTGCCTCTAATGCCTTGGTAGCCCGTGTAACCCAGGGTGAATTCCTATAAACGCACTCATACCATAGACAATGACGCTAAACAATCACAAATAGCCAACAAGGTTTCCCAAATTAGTCACCTGCCTAAGCTGTAGCCAATCACATGATTTCCTTGCTCTGCTGCCACATCTGTTCTATAAAAGCCTTTTTCCCCAGCTCTTGTCAAGCACTTTCAAAATTTTTAAAAATTTTTAAAAATTTTTTAATTTTTTTAAACGTATTTACTCATTCTTAGAGCACCTGGGTGACTCAGTTGGTTGAATGTCTGACCCTTGATTTCAGCTCAGGACATAATCTCAGTCGTGAGATCAAGCCCCGTGCTGGGCTCTACACCGACAGCACAGTGCCTGCTTGGGATTCTCTCACTCTCCCTCTCTTCTGCTCATGTGTGCCTATGCCCTCTCTGTCTCTCTCTCTCTCTCTGAGATATATAGGTGAGAGAGAAAGAGAGAGAGAGAGAGAGAGAGAGAGAATGTATTCACTCATTCTAAAGGAACAACCCACAATCTTTCCCAGTTATTGCATCTGGCTGAAAGTCAAGGGTCATTTAGTGATTTGCACACCTTTCCATCTGGACCACGTGTGGGTCCTTAAGGCTATCGATCCACGGTTAAGTGAGTCCTCTACCACTCTTCTAACGCTTTTAACACACAGTAATGGAGGAAAAACAAGGTCACCGTTTGGATCCATGACAGACAGCAAAGACTACAATCCTCCTACCAGTAGAGCAAATGCCGGGATCCACAACCCGAGCTATGACCACTCGGGCAGTCTTGGAAGGTTCCCTGTCTGGGTCTTCCAGGACTGTCTGGAATTGGAGATGGACCCCAGCAAGGATTTCCTTCCCCGGACCCGCCTATCATCAGTCTCATTTGCATGAGGGAAGAGTGTTGGCTGGGCTCCTCCAGGCTTAGGGTTTATCTGTTCATCTCCATTAACATTTACTCAATCGGCTGTCAATCCACCAGCTTTCTGCCTCTCTCAGGAGCTAACGACCAAGTTGGAGTCGAATAGATCAATGGTCCACTAATCTCCCTCCTCTCGCCACTCCCTCAGCTGTTTATGCTTCCTAGACACAGGTCTCTCGGTTACATTGACCCTTTAGGAGATGCCCTTTTTCTTGAAGTAATGGAAAATTTGCCAACAAGTACTTTACTCAACTTGGACAGATTGTAAAATTCTTTCTTCATGCAAATTCCTCTCGCTACAATCTCTAGCAAACTGGGTTTACACAGAATGCCAAGGGAGGCCAGTCGGTGCTACTGTGCCCCTACACACACACCCCTTCCTTGAATATGAAACAATAATGTTTACGACGATCTCTCAAGAACGGAGCGTGAGGCGTTTTATTCGCAGACCTAGATGATATTATTAACAAATATGATTCAAGATGAAATAATTTTCATACAAATGGCTATTAACTAGGAAGAAGTTTCCAAAAACGAGGATTTTTACAAGCGTGGGGAAAATGCTAAGGAGGACGTCATGAACGTTAGAAAGAAATGCTTCCTCCAAGGTTTGACACCAAAAAATCGAGTGTGCAAAAATGAAAGAGCAAGAGAAAAATGCCGGTGGACCAAAAGGGCAGCATTAAATAAAAAGAGAAATGTGAACGATTCGGTTTGCAGAGTGGCTCGGGACTATGTGTTCTGGCCCTAGGATGAGAAGACGGGGAGGCTGGTCCCAACTGCAGGACTACACGGATGGAGTCCCTGAACATACCACCGAAAATCTCAGGTAGGTTTCCCCAGGCACAAAATGCACAAAGACAACATGGGCAGGAGGACAAAATAAACTTCCAGCTCCAAAAACGGCACAGGTCAATTTGAGATAACTGATACCACCTATCCTATTTTCATTCTGAGTCCAGAATCAGGTCCTGGGACCCCCCCCCCCCCCCCCCCCCCGCCGGCCAGTGATATGGTTCAACCATATCTTCATTCAACTGACCCCAGGGAACAGACCCATCCAGATACTTACGTACCGCACTTGCGCTGAAACATCTGGTCGCTTGAAGCAGTTGCCTCTCTTTTCATAAAAAGTTCAACGGCATCATTGAGATCGAATTCACACGCCATTAATTCACCCGTTTAACATATACAAACGTAATGGTTTTTAGGGTATTCACGGGGTTCTGAAACGATCACTGAAATCAGTTTTATGACATTCTTGTCACGCTAAAAAGAAACCTCTGATTCATTGGTAGTCACTCCCCATTTCTCCCCCAAACCCTCCTGCCCCAGGCAGCCACTAATCTACGTTCTAGATGTGCCTACTCCGGACATTGTCTCATAAATGGAATCACACGCGATGTGGTCTTTTGTGACTGGCTTTTCTATGCATGTTTTTGACATTTATCCATGTTACAACCTGTGTCAGAACTTTATTCCTTTCTGTTGCTGAGTCATATTCCATTGTACAGATTTACTTCACTTGGTTCATCAGTTGATGGGCATGTGGGTTGATTCCAGTTATTGGACATTTCTATGCAGGCCTTTATGTGAACACACGTTTCACTTCTCTGGCTTCAGTGGACACGTAGGAGGAAATTGCTGGGTCTTAGGGTAATTGTGTCGAACGTTTTGAGGAAGTGCCAAACTGTTTACCAAAGTGGTTGCAACATTTTATGTTTCCGCTGGCAATGCATGAGAGTCCCATTTTCTCCACATACTCGCTAACATCATTTGTCCTTGTCTGTCTTTTTGATGAAAGCCAACCTATTACATGTAAAATCGTTGTGATTTCGACTTGCTTTTCCCTAGTGGCTAATGATGTTGAGCATCTTTTCATGGGCTTATTGGCCATTTGTGTACCTTCTCTGGAGAGACGTCTATTTAGACCCATCACCCATTTTTAGTTAACTTCTGGGGTTTTTTAACTTTTTTTAATTTTTATTTTGGAGAGAGAGAGAGTGTGTGAGCAGGAGAGGAGCCGAGAGAGAGGAAGACAGAGAATCCGAAGCAGGCTCTGCACGACAGCAGCGAGCCTTGTGCTGGGCTCAGACTCACAAACCACAAGATCATGACCTGAGCCGAATCTGGACACTCAACCAACTGAGCCACCCAGGTGCCCCTTTGATTTTTAGCTGGAAGACCTCTTTATATTTTCTGGATAAAATTCTTTTATTATGTATATGTGGTTTTCTATATTGTCTCCTAGTGGGTTATCTTTTTACTTTCTTGACGATGTTCTTAGAAAATCAAAGTTTTCCATTTTGATGAAGTCCAGTTTACCGGCCTTTTTCTTTCGTGCCTTGAGTTTTGATATTGTACTTACACAAGCTTTGCCTAATCCAAGGCCACGAAGATTTACCCCTACATTTTCCTCTAAGAAAATGAGTTTTATAGCTTCAGCTCTTACATGTAGGTCTAGGATTCATTTTGAGCTAATGTTTTATGTGGTGTGAGGTAGAACATCAACTTAAGCTTCTGCCTGGAGCTGTCCAGGGGTTCCACACCATTTGTTGGAAAGACAATTCTTTCCTCCATTGAATTATTTTGGCACTTTGTCAAAGCCCAACTGACCGTAGACGTACGGATTTACCTGTAGACTCAATTCTGTTCTGTTGATCTGTTGTGGCTTTATAGTAAGTTTTAAGATTGAGAGATGTGTGGGGTGCCTGGGTGGCTCAGTCGGTGGAGCGTCCGACTTCGGCTCAGGTCATGATCTTGTGGTCTGTGAGTTCGAGCCCCGCGTAGGGCTCCGTGCTGACAGCTCAGAGCCTGGAGCCTGCTTCGGATTCTGTGTCTTCCTCTCTCTCTGGCCCTCCCCCGTTCATGCTGTCTCTCTCTGTCTCAAAAATAAATAAATGTTTAAAAAAAATTGAGAAATGTGAATCCTCCAACCCTGCTCTTCTTTTTATGAGATTGTTTTGGATATTCTAAGTCCCTTACAACTGCATGTGAAGTTTAGAATCAATTCATGAATTTCTGCAAAAAGAAAAAAAAAAGGAAGCCAAGATGTTTATAGGGATTGTGTTTGTTTCATATACCAATTCTGGGGCCCTGGGGTCATTTTACACACTTTACTTTATACACTTTACAAATGTGCAGTATGATGTTAGAAGCCAACTCTTGGCTTAATCATTAGATGACTAGTTACCTCATAAGAAAAATCACTTTCATCCTACATGACACCAATCAAGAAGTGTAATAATCCTTGGGCTTCAGTTTGGGTATGAGTTGAGCATACATTTCTAGCCACAAAACTGACTCCTGCTAAAATGACCTTTTAAGAAACCTTCATAGATTAAGGCAGACCACCTATCTCTCGACTGCATAGCCCAAGATTATCAGGCCCTAGTCTGTGTCTCACACAACTAATGCAGAATATGGCGAAGCAATGTATTTTATCATTATATCCTAAGCGATAGATCGCTTAAATCATTTCTTTCAATTTTAGGATTAAATTTGAATTAGTAGTATATTTCTGCCAGTAGGGGGCAGTCATAACATACCTAGACATTCAAAATAGGAGGCTCTACCTGGAATAGAACACTAAAGAACCGTGGATAAACTGCTGATCCACCTAACAGATAAGCCTTTTGCTTCAAATAGTGTAACTTTCCACAGAGGTTCCCTGGCTGACTGACGGATGGCCCAGCATTGGCCAAACGAAGAGAAATAGAGTGGACCCTGGGCTAGTGTTGTTAAAATCAGGCTGCAGGACTCATTTGGAGCTTTACTGTAAAAACATGCCCAGTCCTTCCCAAGACAACCAACAGTGCCTCCAGAAACATTTCTCCAGGCCATCTATGTGGAAGCAATTTCTGCCCCTGCCTAGGGCTGAGGGATATAATGCAAATATTCACCAGACCATGGAAAATGAAGGAAGCCCCGAGGCTGTGCGTGACGTCAAGGTAAGATGATCTCCACCGTCCATGATGCTTTCTTGACAAGGAAAAGGTTTATCTGGAAAGATTATAAAACCATAAGCAAGCTTTGGCTCAGTGAGCTATTACTCTATCTTATTGACAATTTATCAAAATGTTTTCAAGCCGACCCCAAGAGAAAAACTAGAACCTTGATAATTAGTTAACTTCTCTGTCCAGTTTTCTCCAACCTATGCAGCTTCCCTTTACTAAGACAAATGCTTACCTATTTATTATTTGTTTGTTTCAGGAGGTAATGTTTTCAAAGGCAGGAAACTCAGCCATAGTTTCTTATGCCTATTGATGTTTTGTGGCTATTGTGGCTTAGATGTTTTTCTCCGAAATAAAAATTATATCGCGTGTAGTAATGAAAGAAAAATTATCGACCACTTTCTACAGAAATTGCTTGAGAAAAAACTGATAAAACATTGCAGGAACGTAAGAACATTAAGAAGCTAAGGGATGTTTTTCCTAAATTCACAGTTTCTTAAGGTGAATTTTCGAAGCGTGGATGTCTATCAATAGATAACATCATTTCCCCAAACAGTGACAATTTCCCTGCTCAGTGTGGTGTGTATCCTTGCAGTTTAAGCCTGTAAATCCTCTTAACTATTAATAGAATCATCTCGTAAAAGATTATTCAGAGTGGAGGGGAATGAGTATGTGTTACTGTCCTCCCATGATCAGAGCTCAGAATTCAATGCTGCAATCGTACTACCGCAAACCTATCCAAATACTTTAACACCAAAACATTTATCTATCCTTTTACTATGGCTCATATCCTGATCATAATCATGATTTCTCGTCAGTCATGTTATTTTAACCAACTGGCACAAGACAACTGCTTTTGTTTGCTTGTTTGTTTTTATAAATTATTTTTGAGAGAGAGAGAAAACACAAGCGGGGGAGCGGCAAAGAGAGAGAGGGAGACACAGAATCCGAAGCAGGTTCCAGGCTCTGAGCTGTCAGCACAGAGCCCGACGCGGGGCTCGAACGCACGATCCACGAGATCATGACCTGAGCCGAAGTCGGACACTCAACCGACTGAGCCACCCGGTTGCCCCAAGTGTGGTGTTTTTCACTAAGTCATTAAAAAGGTTTTTCTGTAGAAATGTACTGACCTTCATTTTTGAGCTTTCAGACAGATGTTGTGAAACTTCAAGCCCCTGTTATCACCTGAGCACTGGGTCTTTAGGAAACTAAAATGAAATGGATATACCGGCCAGAAGCCCTTCATTGATGGGCATCTAAGCCTAAATGCAAAAGAGATTTCTGAAAGGTAGACCTTGGAGGCTACTCTGGGGAACAGCAATGTACGTTTTGTGTGTGCACGTGATATACACATAGGTGCGCACACACATGTAATTGCAAAGTTCTCATTGTATGGAGGGGTATGCTTTAAGCAGAATCCTAGACAAATGAGTTGGAAAAGCATTTGTGAGTCAGCAGCCTCTTCCCACAGCATCCTGGAATCAAATGTACCACCAACACCAGGCAAACCTACCTGCCATCCTGACCTCATAACAGGTTCCAGCCTGTACAGCCCAGGTGTGAGCAGTCAGGAGTGATCCTGCCGGGATGCCACTGCTCTCTCCAATCAGTTCTGCCTCTTCAAAACATCTTTTTTGTCGCATCTGAATAGAGACAGTCACATAGGTGAACACGTCCCTCGTCCAGCATATACAAGGAGGGTAGAACTCATCTCCTTTTAATTCTACAAATATGACCGTATCCACATGATCTGCAAAACCTGAGCCAGGTTTTGAGAAAGATGTGCTCCTTCCTCTCAACAGACTTCCAGTATAGTGGGAAAGACAAACGTATCAGCATATGATCATATTATCGGCGTGACTTATGTCAACGGTAGAGGACATCCACGTAATTACAATCTTTCAATCATTAAGGAAGTAAGAAGTTAGGATGGTGTATGAGCAACTGAAAATGGCCTAATGAAAGAGTGAAAGAGATGGAATGTGAAATAATGTCTAGAAATGTAGGAAAGTAGGCAGGGAGTGATCGGGCTAGAACGTGTCTAGATGTCTAGAGGCCATTGATAAAAACATTAAAAAAAAATCTTAAACCTAAGCCTCACACCTTAAACAGCAATTAGTTCAAAGTGCATCACGGACTTGAAAAGTACAACCATAAGGAAAACTATAAAACTTCTTGGAAAAACAATTTTTTGTAAAGCTTTGTGACCTAAGGCTAAGCAGAGTTCTTAGACATCAGAAGTATAGTCCAGAGGGGTACCTGGGTGGCTCAGTCGGTTAAGTGTTCACCTTCGGCTCAGGTCATGATCTCGTGGTTCGTGAGTTTGAGCCCCGCGTTGGGCTCTGTGCTGACAGCTCGGAGCCTGGAGCCTGCTTCCGATTCTGTGTCTCCCCCTCTCCCTCCTCTCTCCGCCCCTCCCCCGCTTATGCTCTGTTTCTCTCTGTCTCTCAAAAATAAATGTTTAAAAAAATTTTTTTAAGTATAGTCCACAAAGGAAAAATTAATAAGTCGAACCTCAAAATATCAAAAATAGACTTTTGCTCTGCCAAAACGCCTATTAAGAGGATAAAAAGACAAGCTACAGACTTTGAGAAAATATATGCAAACCGTATACCTGACAAAGGCCTTGTGTTTAGACTATGTAAAGAACTCTCAGAACTCTGGGATAAAATAACAAACAATCCAACTAGAATATTAGCATGTTATTAAAGAGCATATACAGATGGCAAATAAACCCACGAAAAGATAGTTAACATCATAGCCCCAAGGAAAACACAAACTAAAAACACGATCAAATATCATTTGATCAAATATCATACCTATCAGGATGACTAAAATGAAAAACTGAAAAAAAAACAAGTGCTGGCAAGGATGTAGACAAACTAGATGACCCATATACTCCTGGTAAGAATGCACAGTGGTACAGCCAGTCTGGAAAACAATTTGGCAGTTTCTTTCAAACCCAAACATGCAACCGTCATATGGCCCACCTATTTCGCTATTGGCCCTTTATCCCAGAGAAATGAAAACTCATGTTTACACAAAATCTCGTATGCTAACGCTCACAGCAGCTTCATTCAGAACAGCCAAAAACTAGAAACATCCCCAAAGTCCTTCAAAAGTTGAATGAAGGACTGTGGTACATCCACGCTATGGAATGCTAAGGAAACCCTTGCAACAACAACAACAAAAAGAATCAACTGTTGATACACAAAAGGAATGAACTATTGATATATGTCCCTTAGATCATCTCAAAGGAATGATGCAGAGTGAAAAAAAATAATGATCCCAGAAAGCCGAGTAAAGTATGATTCCATTTATATAACATTCTTGAAATGAAATTATAGAGTTCGAGAATGGATTCATGGTTGCCAAAGACTGGGGGAACTTTGGGGTGGGACAGTTCTTTCTCCTGATTTCAGTGGTGGGGACAGAAACGTACAGATGTGATAAGATTCTTTGGGAGTAGTGCACACACACACACGCGCTCATGCACACACACACAAGTGAGTGCTTATAAAACTGGCGAAATCTGAGTAAGTTCTATGAATGGTACCAATGTGGGTTTCCTGGCTTTGATGTTATACAACAGTCGTGCAGTTTCCATTGGGGAAGCTAAGTGAAAAGTGCCTGGGACCACTTTGCACGTTCTCTTTTGGAACTTACTATGAATCTATAATGATTTCAAAATAGAAAGTTAAAAGAAAACAAACCCCCAAAGGCCGGTAGACTGATGATACCCACAGAGCACTGCCTGCGTGTTTCGTCGTGGTTTTTCTGGTTGTTCTTTTCATTTCGAACCGATTTCACTGGATCAGTAGCACTGATGTCATTAGACCTGTTTTAGAGATGAGAACCCAAGTTCAGAAACACTGGTTGGTTACGTTGTATGAAGTCAGCTGAGTGGTGATTTGAACCTAGGTTTTTTTGGTACTGATTTCTTTACTAATTCAGTGGCTTCTGACAGTGATTTACAAAGCAGACCATAATTTCATGGGCCTGAAGCCAGATTTCTTAATAGGGTTTTCTTTGTGCATTCAGCCTAAAGTACTCCAACATGCACCACTAATTTACTACAGAATAAATTCATACCCCCGCATATATAATCACGCACCTGTCTTCATCATCATATTTTTCTCCATCAGGATTTTTGCTCCCTTTCTTTCATTCAGGACAAGGAGTGCTAGTGGAATGTAGGGTGTCCCCTGGGCTAATCGCTTCCTAAGTGACAGACATGAGAAAGAGAGAAAGTAAAAAGCCACACTGGCAAGAAGTCAAATCCATCTATCGATACAGATTTATTGTGTGTATATGTGTAGGCATCCCTCTTCGGTAATGAAAATGGTCGGAGCTTAGACAAGAAAGTTCCTTCCACAAAATTATTTTTTTTTTAACCTGGAGATCAAGAGTCGCATGCTTTACAGACTGAGCCAGCCTGGCACCCCTCCACGAAATTATTTTTCATATCATTCCAACATCAATGCGCCTCTAAGAGCACAGGCTTCTAAGTGCCCTCCTGTTCCAGACGTGTGATCCCCTGAGCAGCTGATCAAAGCACTTGTTTCGAGACGTTATACACTGAAAGGAGAAAAATAAATGTCAAGGCCCCAAAGGGTAGCTACAAAGACAATGGTGCTTTGTGTGATGAAAAGGATACAGAAAAGAAGAGAAAAAAAAAATCTTAGTAAAAAGGAATTATGCTTCTAGTATCCAATACCTCAACATGAATGTACTCAGAAGACAAAATTATTTTGTCCTGCCTCCATTTGTGAAAGAGTAAGTTCGGTGGGGATAAAATTAGTTCTTTTTCTTTTTTTTTTTTTTTTTTTGACAGCCCTCTGAAACGACTCCTGTAGTAATTAGTTTAACACTTAAGATGTTCACAAACCTCTTGAGAAAAAGGTTCATTTGGAAGCATGTTGTTGTGATTATATCTTCTATAGTTCGCATGCAAATGTTAATTGGCAATCCTCCAGAACCTATTATAGGGGGTCTCT